GGACCAAGACCAGTTAGGCTGGTAAGGCAGACCGGGTAAGGCCAAACCCTTAAAAGACACCTTGGACATCAGACTGAAGTCAAGGAGTGGGGCAGAGCCTTCAAATTTTTTTTCCAAAAACTGCCTCTGCCTCTTCCTGGTTTTCTCCCTTACTGGACGCAGTCCTGTAAACCAAACCCCAGCCGAGCCCAGGGACTGAGCGCAGGGTCTGAGCCCCAGTGCTTGCACCCCTCGCCACTATCCCCCTACTCACCTCGTCTCGCACGCAAAGGACTAGCACATACCTGTGGCTGTCAAAATTCCTTACAGTTGCCTAGTGCTTTAGTTTTCAAAACATTTTAAACACATTCTCTCACTCTCCTCTCCAAACAACCCTGTGACATAGCCATGGTAGGTGACTCTGTTACTTTATAAGAGAGGAGGTTCGCAAAATCAAAGCCGTTCAGGTGAGAGAACCAGAAAAACTCTGGTCTCTCGGCTTCTACATCTCACTCCCTTTTGGGACATGGGGGGAAATACACTTAGAAATAACAGAAAAGCCAACTGGACATTAGGAATGAAAAGTCAGCCAGAAATCATAAATTGCAGTGTTAGATTAAGGTGGATAATCAGCAGAGTACAACAGCTTACCAATTAATTTCATGCTATCAACACAGAAATTGGTGAGCTTGTTAAAAAAACAGAGCAACAACTCATTTTGAGAGTCAAGAGCTGAGAGTCAAGAAAAAAAAGTAAAATTTTGCGCATCTCAAATGTGGCTTAGTCTGTAGTTCCATGTACCCCTATCCAAAAGCTCCTGGTCTCAAAGCCTATTTCTTCTGTTTAGATACATTTCTCAAAAGTTTAGTTATGGCAGAAATAATGTAGGCCAGATGGCCTGTTTATTGCTGTATTCCCGGTCCTGGACCACTGCAGGGCGAGTAGTAGGTGCTCAGCACATACTCGCTCTGGGAATTGTTTCCTCACCTGTGAGACTGGTGGCACTACCACCCCCCGCCCCCAGCAGTGTTGTAAGAGCAGTTAGGTCAAGTTCAGGCGTGGGGCGTCCCACGCTTAATGAAGACACCCTCCTTCAGCAGCTCAGCAGACGGGTGGGAAGAATATCCTGGTGGGGCATCTTCTAGTCACTTCAAAGACCTTTAAGATTTGTTCTAGTACTAAACTCACAGAATTCTGTGGAAGAGAATGAAGAGGCCAAGTAAAATAGTTTATATTTGTTTAAAGCTATTAGAGAGAGACATGGAGGCTTCATCGAAAATTTGTTTTAATGAGTAGACAGTGCAAATGCCAACCTATGAGTCCTGCTGCAATCAGGTCGAACAACGGCAAGAAAACCCTGGAAGCTACTATAAAAGCAATTCGATTTGAAATAGCTGGTTAGAACTACACCTATTTGCAGGTTATATTCCAAAGTCAAGACTACAGCAAAACCTGCATATAGTTAAAATTACTCTTGAAAAACTCCTGGAAGGTGTGTCATGAGGACCACATACTATTTCTGTCAAACTCAACACAACAGCCAGATCAGCTGCTCCAGCGTCCCACCAGATTGAGCGGCTGGCTTGTGGCCAGGGTCGTACTGCTTGGATAGGAGCATCTCTGAACACCAGGAGAGAAACAGGCTCCGTGCTTCCAGTGTAACCACGGAGGAACTCGCGAGCTCTCTGCAAAGCTCCACTTCCCACCCCGGTTGTCCCAGGGCATAAATCTCTGTGTAACCAGTGGAGCTGGCCCCATTAATTAAATAGTGAGGTGATTTACTTATGGCTAAATTCACGTAGTTAAATAGGTGTGGATGATGGGCACTGTGCTTTCACTTCAGAAATGTCCAAATGTATTTGGTTTCACTATCAATTAAAAAAACAACTTTTGGACCATGACACATACTAAGAAATTCATTTTAAATTGTAACCCACTATACATACATGTACATTTATATGTATGAAAAAATATTCACAGAATATTTGCCTAATTATTACCTTCTATGGACTTGGTTATTCTGTTCTATTTTGTTTTAAAAAAAGAATTAGGTCACAAATCATTAATAGTTTTCTTGATCCCTAACTGGGTTACCACCTACAATTTGAAGAACAATGAAGTAGAGCATTTTGAGCTCTTACCTACTCAGAGAAATATGTAAGACAGTATCCTGACGTTAAGAAAGACAGTCAAACGAGCACATTTGTCCATAATATTTTAATACTTTTCCACTTTTAAATACTGGTTTTAATTTTGTGATTGTAACATGGAAGATCCAACTTTATTATTTTTTAAAAAAACATCATCAGGATCATAAAGCTATTATAGAATACACTCTATACACTTCCAAGGTACTTTAAAATGATTATGTTTTGAGTTTGTAGATGAACAATGACAATAATCCAAATACATCGCCTGTACAACTTGGACTAAATACTGGTGAAAATGTTTAATTGGACAAACAACTGATAAGCTTAAAGATAACCAGCACAATTTCACAAGAGAACCAGCTCAGCCCAACTAAAAACTTCTCAGTAGCAACGGACACTGGTGTGCAGTGCACGCAGACGAAACCGAACGCAGGGCCCACCGCCCTGTGCCTTCCTCTGCCCCGCCCCGCCCCCAGCCCCGCCCTCCGCGTCGGGCGCCCTCGCGCGACCCCGACCAAGGGCCG